TATTCTAAGACTGAACTATTCTCTTGAACATTAACGGCTGAAGGGTCTTGGACTGATGATGGAAAGTGAGGTGGGTAAGATTATTCATAAGTAAACAAAGATCAGGAAAGTGGAAACTGATATCTAAATCTTTGATTTCCTTTAATTTTACCATCTATTTTATTACTTGTTCTTTGCATGTTTTTGATTAGGCTATGAAAATATAGCAATATAAATGACTGCAACTGGAGTTCCACTCATGATCAACTTGACTGTTAAGGGACATTCTAGAGATTTAACTTGTTAGAAATTTAAGGGACAAAAATGAAACAATTCTTACTTGTTTTGATCCCGTAGCTGTGCCTTTCATTTAAGCAAGGATATTCCAAAGAGTTTAAAAAGGCACCTTCAGCAATGACCCAGTCTAGCTTTTTTCACATTTGAATTTCAGCAAACAGGTTTGAATGGGAGATTAATACAGTTCAGATAGAGGCTGATAATTGGGTTAACTAGAGATATTTAAAAAAATCAGAACATGCTGAAAATGCTCAGCCAGTCTCTAGAGAGGAAAGAAGTTATTAATTCAGATTAATAGACGACATTTCATCAGAACGAAGTTCATCAACTCGAAAACTTAGCTCTGTTGTTTTCTCCTCAGATGTTGCCAGATTTGCTTAGCCTTTCTGGTATTTTTATTTTTAGATTTTCAGTGTTTGCAATGAATTGCTTTACAACAGCTTATATTTTTTTGAGGGAGGCTTTATGAAATCCTAATAACTCTTTGCAATCAGAAAAGATGAACAAAAGAGAATCTTTTTAGTAGGGTTGCATTGAGCAAAGTGAAATTGCCACAGGAGATGACGTACACTAACAGTCCAGTATTCAGTAAGTTATACAAATACTGCACATTTAAAGGTCATCTACAAAAGAATGACTTGTTATAGTAGTTTTGACAGCTTTGTTTTCAATAAAAAAAGATGACTTGTGACAAATTAACTTGTTCTTTTCCTAAATTTGTTTAAAGTGTCCTGTCTCAGTGGTAGCACTCTTGCCCAAGTCAGAAATATCGATTAGAGTTCCACTTCAATTCCCTTGCATTGTAATAGAGGGAATGCGGTGTTGTTGCAGGAGGTACTACCTTCAAATAAGTTGTCAGACTGAGACTCAACTTGCCCTTTTAGCTCGATATAAAAAGTATAATGGCATTACTTGACAAGAGCAAGGAGGTTTATCTCGCATTCTTAACAACGTTTATAAAATCATTTATTTCATTGTTTCTTGTAGGACCTTGTACATAAACTAGACGCTGCTCGTCCTTGCGGTACGAATAAAACCACAGTTCAAAAATAGCTCATTAGCAACGAAGCACTTTGCGATATCTTGAGGATATTTAAATTTGCTACATAAATGCAAACACACTAAGTCTATCTGCTCAATAGTACAATTATAAAATAAATTCTGGAGATGACCCCTAATCACTTGTTGCGGACTGGAAACACACGGCATAGAAATAATTCAAGACAAGGTGCAGAGCTGGATGAACACAGCAGGCCAAGCAGCATCAAAGGAGCAGAAAGGCTGACGTT